CGTATTAAAAGAACTATACAGCTATTTCAATAGGAATAGCCTTATGTAGAGGAAGGAAAAAGTTCTATTTCACACTCGAAAAATCATTATCTGCTAAAAACTAGCCTTAATATACCAACGAAAATAAATGTCTTCCATATTAAATTCTAACGTTATTGTTGAACTCATAGTGGCTTGAATGAGTTTGTTGCATGAAAAGTCGAAGGGTAAAATTTGCATACGTGATTTCAGTAATCATATAAAAGCATTGTGTGTGAGATCAACGCATAGAAGAAATGACTCCGTCTTGAAAGCTCTGCAGTGGAGGTGTTGATGGTGTACTGGATGCGAGCGTTGCTCCGTCAATAGCTCTGTCGATCAATAAATAAAGTTAATAAAAAGTGGCTCTCGAAGATTCTAATAAGTTGTAGAAAGTTTACAGGTTGTTAGAAAAAGCAACAGTGCGGATAGGAAGGATGCATAGGTTTGTCGCTGAGCTCGAACGAACAGTATTACCTAAACAAATTTGTGATAAACACTAACAAGGATTTCATCAAAGATAAAACGACTGACTTTGTCGATTCACTTAAGATACCGCGCATTGATTTCGATAAAAACTCTTGAGATGACTTTACATGTGTCACTGGTAATACTGAAAAACAACGAGGGATCAAGAGATACTAGTGCCTATTTGTCTTTGCCCATGTTAGAGCTATCCCGTAATCTCTTCAACTCCATATTTTTTGAGTGATGACCCTTTGTTTCCTAGCATTTGTGACCAGGGAGTACTCGTCATTTAAGCACCCAACAGAGTTACGCAGTAGGGAGCTGTGTGCAATGACGAGTAGCTTCGGGCTCTCTATCTGCCATGGCTCTAAACGTGCATCTTCTTTACGTTTGTCGGAATCGACCCCCTAATCGCGTTCCAAACAATATACTACTCATTTAATTTAGAGCTCACATTTGGAGCTTTCCATCAAATAGAGCTGATCCATTTTTCTAATCTCTTATTGTCACACATTTGAAAGGCATCAATTTCCTTCTTTCTCTGTTCGATGTCCCTCACTTGAGCGAAATCCATACTCACGGCGAATTATTCATTCGAATCCGATAATTTTCCGGAATAAACGTCGACTACGAGTCACATTGAGCAATTGAAGTCTACGAAAAAGGATCTACCTATGTTATAAATATACTTCCGCAAAGAGCAACAGCAAATAGACAGATGATTCATGATCCGGAATGATAAGCTCTGATTGTCAACTATCCACGATAATGCTATTTGGATCGTACTAGAAGGACAGAGATAAAATTAATTTAAGCATGGCTCTGAGAACTGCTTAGCTAAGTGAAGAACTCTTGCAATCTGCGGATGGGTTTAGCGTTCTGCGCTTAGAATTCGGCTCACTTAAGTAAGTGAGTGGTACCACGGCCGGCACTCGAAAACAACATCTCAAGCACATGAATTTTAGTAAATGCTTGTTTTCAGCAATTTAGCGCGGTGAAAATGACCATTTTTATCGTATATTAAAACAAAACACCATAAATAACGAGCTTTTTACCATACTTTTTTAATCTATGAATTAAACCACTGCAACATGTCACGTCTACTATGACATCGACACATTTCCATTTTATTTCATACCACCCGTCTTTCGCATCCACTATGCGGATCTCAGCACTTCTCACATTCGATTCGTTCCTCGCATCCATCACCCACGAAGGTCTTACAGTTTTTTACGTGTGTCTTTGGCATCTGCTCGAGGACTTTCCTTTCGTCATGAATGTCGATGAATGCTGCTGGTCGAGCCGATTCTCAGTGGAGCCCTGAGATAGCCGGACTAGAACGTTTTTACTTGGTTTGCAGAAAGTGAACAATTCCCAAACAAGTCTGGTGGTAATCCGGAAGGATTAGCGGATTGGTGTGCTGAGTGAGTCGAACCAAAACTGTCCTTATAATGGTCGGCATCGCTAACACTGGGCTACCCGCGCCTGACACTAATACAATGCCATTGTAAAAGTGTAACGACAGTGTAAAAATGACTAGTACTAGCATAATTGAACCATAACTATTTCAATATAATGTGAAAATGATAATGAAATACTAACAGCATAATGTAAAATAATGAGTAAAATAATAATAATATAACGTAGAAATGCACACGCACTAATAAAATGCAGAAATTATACTTATATCTTTCTTGTAATAGTTCCCAGGATCGACTTTCTCTTAACCTCGGCATTGGAATATGAATGTGTCGTTTTCTTGTTCAGCAATCGCGAGATTTTTAAACAGCATACATTTACTTCCATAAAAACACAATACAATACAACGCTAGCTGACGTTTCGGCAGTATCGCCTTCTTCAGAGCCGCTTTTTCGTGACTTCCAATGAGGAAGTTTAGAACAGCCGATTATAGTCGCATGTGGTTGACGAGCAGTCGTTCGAGAAGTTGTTGATCGTGTAATTACCAAAGAGTTTTTCGTCTTTTTGTAAGTGTTATTGAAGCGTTTGGCCTAGTAGATTGTATATCAGCATACCCTTCCAGGCTCTGAAGAAGGCGATACTGCCGAAACGTCAGCTAGCGTTGTATTGTATTGTGTTTTTATGGAAGTAAATGTATGCTGTTTAAAAACCTCGCGATTGCTGAACAAGAAAACGACACACTTATATCTTTGTTTGAATCATCCAATCAAAGTATGTACCCCTTAAAAATATGTAATACTTTTCATAGACATAGTTACTTTAAATACTTCTTGAAGTGATATTTCTCTGAGCGAATCGAGTTATAGACGACGCGACACCTCACTAACAGTCGTAAATATTCAGAATTTCTTCATTCACGAAGATTAACGGCATCTTCAATAAGGAAACCTCTTCAATATACAGAGACGAGAGTGGAGATGGATTTCTTCTATGGTTCTCAGACCCTATGAGACCATTTTTACCATGATATAGGATTACTTGACTCGCTTTGTCAAACGCTGCTGCGAAATTCCGTCTTGGAGGATCGGATATTTCCCAAGTGCTATAACAAAGAAAAGCCACTTAATCTGAGCATCATTCACGATCAACACAAGCAAGCTTTTCCTGTGTTAAAAGCCTCGGTTACTGTAGATGGTGACGTCGTCGTAGTGGTTGATTATGAAGACTCTGCGGAAGCACTTGATGTTTTTTTCCCGCTTATTGACTTGTTGCCGCTTCATGTCGAAACAATAAAATTAATTTATTTTAATTTTATTGCATTTGTATATTTATTTAATTAATTTTTTTACAATCTATTTATTTATTTATTTATTCTAATTTAATTTATTTTTTTAATTTAATTTTTCAAATTTATTCAGTTTATAAAATTTATAACGTTGAATAGCGGGCGATTACTGACTTAATAAAGTAAGGGCGAGCTGGAAGTTCGGGAAAAGGCATCGTTTCATCATCTAATGTAAAGTAGGTTAAGCGATAATAAAATTAAGAACAATGGACGACAATAAATGAACTAACAATGGACTGGTCCTTCCAGCAATAGCAAATTATAGATCCAGCAAAATTCAGCAAAATGAGATAAGAAGGCCATTTTAGCAAATACTGATATTTCCAGCGGAGCGCAGATGGCGAAGTGGTTAGACGAGTTGGAATACACATGTGGTCGTTGGTTCGATCGTTCTCCGAGCCAACTAAACCTCTCATCTTTCCGGTGTAGGCAAACTAACATCAAATTAGTGTGTTAGAAGCCGTCTTCGACTTATAAAGGCTGGATATGCCGATGTTCAACACCAAGGAGCACTATCACACGGGTATTGCAGGAATCTACAGAGAATCGGGTTAGAAAGCATTAAACTATTCATAAAAGAAGACGAAATCGCCAAGTTAAAGTCGAACTTACATGCAAGTCAGAGGACTTTCACGGATAAGAAGTGAAAGATAATACTACCAATTTTGAAAATTATGTTACGCTTCGTACTATTTCTGGCAACGACTGATCTACTTTTTAAAGGAATATGTACCTTAAATAAAATTTGGCGAAATAGAAACATAAGGAATAGAATTTCTGTGATCAAATCCCGCAAACAGGTCGACTTTTATTAACCTCGGCACTGATACAATAGTTCTCGATATTCTCGTTGAGCAAACACGAGGTGTTACTATACTAAATAACTTTTAAATTACTAAGTAAGATTGAGGATGGTGGTGCAATGGTCGAACGCGCCTTGCAACGTGGAATCGATGCCCGCGCCCATGGCTCGCCAAGCCTTCCTTCCCTCCGGTGTCAGCAAACTGGATTTGTTTGGGAGGATAGCAGCACTGGCTCTATACATCGGTAGGCCACCGCGAGTCATAGCAAAGGCCAGATATGAATCCAGTAGCAACTAACAATGCTTAATGAAGTCGAATGCATGGCGCATCCTTCAGAGATTGAACAACGCGGAGAGCTTCTCTTTTTTAATCCTTTAAGCAAGGTTTGGTAAAATTGGTAAGTAACACCTCGTCTTTGCTTTACAAGAATATCGAGAACTATTTGATCAATGCCGAGGTTAATAGAAAGTCGGCCGTGAGAATTACCGTAAACAGAGTTCGAAGGGCTACAAATAAACGTGCATTTTGTAATAGTTCCCAGGATCGACTTTCTACTAACCTCGGCATTGGAATATGAATGTGTTGTTTTCTTGTTAGGCAATTGCGAGGTTTTTAAACAGTTTAAACTGTTTAAAAACCTCGCCATTGTTGAACAAGAAAACGACACATTCTTTCAATGATAAGCTAGCACCAAGTTGATAATCAAGACAAGTATATTCAGCCAACATTTCAACGACTTCGTCTTCCTTGAAGCCGTCTTTGAAATGTAAATAAGTTCTAGCAGTTCTCACTGGTACGCGTATACATCTCAAGATCGTTGTTTGCTACCAGAAAACATTTCCTATGTGTCGGTTCTTTGAAATACTTGAGCAATCAAAATCTTAACCGCATTTCCTGAAGGAAAATCGGCCGAATAAAAAAGAGAGAAGCAGCACTCCAGATATGGTTATATATTTAAAGGTAACTGATATCCACTATCAGCGATAATGGTGATTATTGATGAAACGAGAACACATTCGAGAACATCATCGTTTTCGAATAGACAAATGGAAAAAATATAACTTGCTTGGATACTTGGATATTTGGACGGTCCGTCTTCACGAGCTGTGCGGACCCAGCACATATGCCATTCGTTCCTTTCAATCACAATCGTAATCAGTGGTGGTGGTCTTGTTCGAGCATTGTAACGCTTGCGAGTCTCATACCGTGATCTGTAAAACAACTGCAGCTGCGGGTACAGCTGATTAACTTTGTTTACGAACACGTCCGCCCAACGTGCAGGTGGTCGTCCAAGGGACGTTTGCATTCTCTTGAAGTCTACTCTACTGTTCTTCTCGTCCATCTGTCGTCTGTTCTTCTTATTATGTGACCAGCCCATCTACGTTTCGCTGTCGATGTATATTCTCCTGGATCTCGAAGATGTGACAGATTTCGAAGGTCAGAGCTTCGCACTCCGACTACATATTGAGAGTGCCGGTTATATTTCAAAAGACAGACATTCAGTTGCATAGAGACGAAAGTATTGAGAGTGCCGGTTATATTTCAAAAGACATCGCTCAAGCGCTCTGTGAGCAGTGCGAAGCATTCTTGACGTAGTTGAAGTATCAACCCACGTCTGCAGCATAACAGAGCGCTGGGAGGACTGTATAATTAAAGAAATGAGCGCGGATTTCCGGGTCCTTCAGTTCGTCGGTGGCTTCTTTGAGAGGCCCGAATGTGGCTCAAGCTGCTCTCCTTCTTCTATCTAGTTCCTCTTTCATGTTCTTTCCCGTGTTCATTGATCGCCCAAGGTAAACGTACAAGGTGGCCTCTGCAATGAGAGAGCGATCCAGTTCAATTTTTTCGCCTTCGCACCATGGGTTTTTCACGAACTGGGCCTTTTTCGATTTATGCGAAGTCTGATCTTTTTCCTTGCTTCGTTAACCTCGTTGATCATCACCTCTGCTTCGCTAATACTTCTTGAGAACATGATAATGTCGTCGGCAAAGCGAAGGTTTGATAGGAATTTTCTATCAATACGTATGCCTTTCTCATTTCAATCGAGTGACTTCATTATCCACTGCAGTGCGACACTGAACAGCTTTGGCGATATTGTGTCGCCCTGTCGAACCACTTTTACTATGGGTATTGTAAGACGTCGATAGAAAAGCTGCATTTTCGTGGTGCAGTTCCGATGACAGTCGGACAGAGTCCTTATGAAGGACGAGTTCACTCCTTGGTCGACGAGCGTTAATAGGATTGCATTCGTTTCGACACTATCAAATGCTTTCTCATAGTTGACAAAGGTCAAGACTAGAAGCAAGTGGTATTCCCGACAAGCGTCGATGATCCTGGACACAGTTTGGATGTGGTCCATGCGGCAAAACCCTTTCCGAAATCTTGCTTGCTCGACTGGTTGCGCTTCATCCAATGTCCTTGATAAGCGCGAGAGGATAATTTTCGTGAAGAGCTTGTAGAGTACACTTAACAAGCACATAGGGCGATAGTTACGAAGATCCCTTCGGTCTCCTTTCTTGGGTAAGATAACCGTGCGCGACGTCCTCCACTGGTCTCGGATTTTTCCTTTCGAAGGTAGCCTGTCAAATGATCTGCGAAAAGTACATGTAAATTGTGACTTCCAGCTGTAAGGAAATCGGCAGTGATCTTATTGGGTCTTAGAGTTGTGCCTCTTTTCATACTTTCTCTCGTAACTCGAACCTCCGACGGAAGGATTCCAGGTGGTTTTTCTCCAGCGAGGAAATTAGTGCCAGGGACGGGGATTGTGGAAGGGAAAAGGTTGGAGTAGAACATTTCCGCTATTAATTCCATATCATGGCGGGAAGTTTTGACGATCCCATCTTCGTTCATTAGGGCTGACAGCGGGACATTATAATCACAAAAGTCCTAACGGCATTTTATCAGACTGCTTCTTTTCTCTGCTGCTTCCACTACTTCCTTTTGCTTGTACCATTGTAGATCTTCCTGCAAAGCTCTTCTGCAGCTGGCATTTATTACTAGTCATGCTAAACGTGTTGCAGTAGGATCAAGCTTCAGTTTCCTTCTCTTTTCGAGCAACTCCTTAGTAGTGATGTAAATGCGATCCGATCTTCTTGCTTGAGGAACTGAAGCGAATTACGCACAGCTTTTCAGTCCTTCGACAAAAAGCTCATAGTGTTCGCTTCGGTCTTCTTTAATCTGCCAGTCACGTTTGGACAGGACTTCATTTAGAATGTACTCGTAGTATATAGCTAGACTTTTTCCTCGTGGTCGATGAGTAGAGTTCTTTTCCAACTTGCAGCTGAAACGAATCTTCGCGCGAAGAAGGCGGTGATTGGAACCAGTACAGAATGACGGGACTACCGATGTGTCAAGTAGGCACCATCTATTTGTCAGAATATGGTCGATCTCCGCATGAATCATGCCGTTGGGGGAATCCCTTGTCCAGCGGTGGCTTTCCTTCTTCTGGAAGAACGAGTTCCCATGGAAGAGACGTGCTGCTGACAGGAGTCCTGCGAGACGGTTCCCATTCTCATTTCTTTCTCCTAATCCAAAACTTCTGATCCTGTATTCGCTCTCGTTGGCCTTTCCTATTCTGGCGTTGAACTCTCCAACAACAAATTTATGATATGCCTTATCATTGCAGATGACTTCCTCCAACTGGAAGTGGAACGCATTTAATTCGTACTCATCAACTGCGTTGGTCGGTGAGTAACAGTTGATGACAGTGATCTTCTTATGGTGCGACAGTTGAAGACAGAGGGCGGCTATGCGAAGGGAAAAGATTATGTATGAGTCGACGAGATGGACAATGGACGGGTGGACGACAAAGACTACGCCACCGACAAAAATATAACTGGAAATTTCAAATTCAGGAATAAAAAATAGCAGAGACCAGGAAGCTGATGTTCTAATTGGAACTGTAAACTTTAAAATTATCTTTCATTATCGGTACACTTTTTCTTTGTTCATTCATCTTCTTCAATGTCGAAAAAGTGCGTCTTTCATTGATCTAGGCAAACATATGTGGACTATATTATTATTACGATTATTCTGTGATAACGTTAGAATTCTGGCAGGGGATATTCCTAAGTTTGATCGATTTCGATTCAGATTAGTACCTCTCTCTTTTTCTGTTCCTCTCCTCTCTTCCCTTCCCCCTTCCTTAATGGATAATTATATGTTTACTAATAAAACGAAGAAACACTGAGGTACGGTAGTGAATAAAATGGACAACGACGCTTCTATTCCTTCACCAAATAAAGCATTGAAAAAATCCCATTTGGATGTCTTCTGAACACCTAATTAGAGGAAAATTCCACAACGAATAAAATAACTAGCAGTGAAGAAACTAATGAATCATGACAAAGGAATCGTAAATGTTAACAGACATAGAAAAAGTACTCGACCACTTTCTCAGAAAAATATTGTACAGTTAGACGAAAAAAAGTTAACCTCGATTGTTAAAGAGAATGTTGGAATGTTAAAATATCGAAACGAATAATCTCATACGTGGGAACCCCCTAAGTTGGCTATGCTAAAGATTGTAGGGAGAATCAACTCGACCAGCATTCTACGATATTCATAAAGAAGAAGAAACCCGCAAGCAGTAGCCCAATCAAAACACCAAATAATCCAATGTGGATGACGAATGCGAGGAAAACCAATCCAATGCAACAAGTACTGGGATCCACACAGTACACGTGATGACGGGTTATGGATCATGTGGAGTAAAAATAAAAATAAAAATAATCTCTCACAGGTAGCTTAAACGAACACCATAAAGTAAGTGGAATGTGTTGTTGCTAATCAAGAAGATGTATGCTGTCTGTTAATGGAATGCACTACAAACATAGACCGTAGAAGATGGCCAAGCCTCGATGAGGGGTTGGAGAGCTGCGCTGCCGATAATGGAGACTGCTGCTGCATGGCGTAGCGTCTTTCGCGCTTAGGCTTATAATCAAATCACCTCTGGCCACATACCAACATCAACATTACATCCGATTTTCATCATCGTCATAAAATTTGTTGATCGTCGCCTTTCATCAACATTCGATTCACACTAAACAACAGCTATTTTGATCATTTCGCATCGCTAAAACAACAACATAGTACTGAAATCCTTTTGCTTTGATTATTACTGTAACCAGTATTGTCATTTAAAAAGGATAAGAGATAAGGTGTCTGGTATTGAACAATCTCTTAGAATTGCGCCATGCATCCGACCCAATTCGTAGCATCGCAGACGTGACTGAATGCATACTTGGCCAAATAATGGTTTACGGTAATGTATTGATATACCAACTCATGGTTTAATCCGTTCTGTTGCCTTGGTTAGCGCGGACTTCATGATTGAAAAAAGTTGACCAAGGCACATGAGAAAAACAAAAATTGCTACCAAAACACAAAGGAATAGAGCAAAGAGCAAATTATGAAAGAAGAAGAACTCAGTGAAAGAGGCGGGTAGTCCGTGGGTGCACTGTAACCGATATAAACTCATTACAATTCATAACACGAACGAAGAAAACTAGGTGTCACCAAGAAAGTGCCAATGACGTTCTTTATTACGATGAATATAGTATAAAATAGTATAGAAATGTGGTATGATACAATATAGTGTTTGCTTTTGGAGCTTAGCCTAATGCAATTCGCTCGTAAACGATTTGATCAAGGAAAACAAGCACGACAAAACACATCATCCTCCAAGGATTGAAAAAACCAGGACAGGTTTTCCTGTGAAGAAGAAAGTGCTAACAGAGTGGAATTCCTAGCACATCGTGTTGAGAAATCTAGGTAAAACTGTCCGTGTTTTAGAACCTCAGCACTGTTCTTTATTGAAATCTTTTCTTAAGTGTCATTTCTGTTCTCGTTTACACAATTAGTTCGAATTCTTAGAAATTGCTCTGATAATGCTTGTCCTTTTACGCTAATGAAGTCCCTCGATACCGGCATAACATCTGTTTAGTTGATGACTTCTTAATAGCGACGGATATAGTCTATGAAAACTTTAAGTGCAAAATATGTCGCCGCAAAAAATAACACGAATATCTCGATGCCATCTTAAACTTTCTGTTCTCTTTTGGACGTTTTCATGATGAGGCCGATGACTATGAAGTAGGTGATGATGGCCGGAAGACGGATAGCCGGCGAAGAAAAGAGAGAAATTACGAAACGATTCCAATACGTGTATAGAAATCTTATAGTAGAAGTGGTGGAACCTCATAACGCACTACAAAATAATCCTATTTGCCGGTCTGAAAGATTGAGAAGGAGGAAAAAATGGAAGAATCAGAGAAGAGACTTGATGAGGAAAGCATAAGCAGAATTAACTATGCGACAAACACAATTACTGCGTGATTTTCGGCGAATGTTCGTCGATGGCGATTTAATGATGGCAAGTGT